AAATAGTATTAACATATAAAAAAAAATAATTAAGAACAAAAAAAATTGTTTTAAATTAATGAAATTACAGGACATAGTCCTGTAAGTGACTAAAATTTACTTTAGTTTTTAAAAATAGCTACAGATTGGTATTTTTGGTGAAATACTGAAGTGGTTATTGAATTAAACTATTATTCTATGCATTAGTCCTTATAAATGAATTCCCTGAAAGGATGAACCAAAAAAATATTTAATTATTTGTTATACTGTTGGGACTTAAAAATCATATCAATATTTTTTTCTTTATAATTTTCTAAAAACCTTACCATTTTTAATCTTACAACAAGTTAAAGATAATAAAATGTATATTGAGATAAAAAATTTAAAGTATCCAAAATATAAATTTCTAGAAGTTATATTAGGTATTAAAGTTGTATGAACGCAGCGCCCGGTGGTATTCACGCGGGTTCTTCAACGTTGGTGGTTTTGTTTTGTCTTACGTTTTAGCTATGTCGAGGATAAAGAATAAGATGAGTGGACTGTATGTTTGAATGTTGAATGAATTTCACAAGATATAATTATAAAAATTAAATGTATTATATAATAAATATAAAATCTTATATACACCAATGTGGATAGGGGGGACACTTAATACTAATGCCACAAAGGCAATGATATAAACAAATAATAAATTATACAAGTGAGTCTTAGAAAGATAAATGAACAAGCATTATACTTATCTGCTAAATGAAAACGGCTGATGATAATGCTGAATATTGAAAGGATCAAGTGTCGAATGCAAGTTGCTGACCAAAGTGTACAATATGCTGTCAAAAGTATTGTGATGTGTCTCAGAAAATATATAGACCCAACGGCGATAAAACTGAGCGCACAGGGTACGAAAAGGTGATATTTTCTTTTTACAGTAAAACGAATACAAAACTACTAGCTCGCAAAAACGCCATAGAGCTTATAACAGAAGAAGCGTTAAGATGGCTGCAACAACGGTGACATAGAGAGAAAAACCGACAACAACTCTATGTAACACAACGATAACATGAATAATCAAAAAACACATTTTCTTGACAGCATATTCGATCGATGTGTATCCAACAAAAGTCAAAGAAAAATCACACCATTTCCAGTAAAAATAGCTGATTTTAACATGTATATAGCAACATCTACATAGTTAAATAAAAATTATAAATTTAATGTACCATACAATTAAAAAAAATATATGTTTCGATGTCTTGTCTTCTCTGAGTTATTGGCCTCAAATCATGCCAATCATGTAATTTAAAAATCTAAATACAATGCCATTATTTAATATAAAAAAGAAAAGCTTAATATCATTGAATTATCACACAACTAATACAAAAACCATATAATTTTTGGTTAAAATAGTTGATTTTAAAAAAGGTTTTGTGTAACAATGGAACATCCACATCATTCAAAACTAATCAAGTTATAGTTTATTTAATGCATTTTATGATTATAAAAAGAAAGATGTTCCAGTGTCTTGTTTTCTATTAGTAATCGACTTTTAAAATTGTAAATCATGTAATTTTTGGTGGATATGTTAAGCTTTTCAAAAATACATTGAAGCATTTAGGACAGTGATTTTAATTATTGTTAGATATCAATTAATACTAACCTAAAAAAATGTCTTAACTCCAACCTTTTCTGGATCCCTACTGTACTTTATTTTTGATTGTTTGTTAATAGTTAACTAAAGATATGGATAAAATGCGTTTAAATATGGTCAATCTTGAAGAACAACTCACTATTTTAAATCGAAATAATGGAACAAAGCATTATGATACAAATTTTGATGTTATTATTAATGACTTAAAGAAAAATCATGCTCAGGAAGTTGCTTATTTACAAGATCAGTATAAAAATCTAATGGATCAAATGAAAGCAAAAGTATATTATTTTGTTTAAAAA